TCCTTCCAAGTGGGTGGAAGTTTGTCAATTATACTCGACACAACATATGATTAATCAATACCTATTTTGTGGAGTTTAAATTGACCAAGAACACCAAAGGGTTCATTGTATTGTTCCATAATTGGCCTTAAGTCAACCATTTTATAATTATTAAAATCACTCACCAAGAACGTCTTACTAGAAGCACCTTCGGCGATGTATTTTGACTCAAGAGAATTCCATACCACAGTTCCTTCGCACTCTCAATGTTTTGGTAAATATCAAAGAACACATCAGACATACCGTTAAGAATGCAACATCTACATATGTAGTCATCATTCTCCCACTTGTTACGCCTCCTAGTTTGTTCCAAAGTTTCATCCTCCTTCACTTCCGGCATGAGAGTGCTCAACACGTATACAACCTTCAAAGTGGTGAGAGGGAAGTGCATATTCTTTTGCCATCTACGAAAATCATTCCCTTGAAACTTGTCCAATTTGTTGAACATGGTTGTCATCTCTTGCACGATACTCATGATTATCACAAAGGAATACCAATTCGATTGTTGGGGCTTCATGTATAGGGGGTGATAATTGAGTACTTGGATTGCTTAAGGATCATGCAAGTTCACTTTCCAAATTGATTTGATATTTCTCCCCTACTGGGTTACAAGAAATTCAATCTAGAATAATCCCTTAGGACACTCTAGAACTTAGACACAAGAACTAGAGCCAAATTAGTGAGTATATGGATTGTTTTCTTAATTTGAGTGCCAATCGTGATCAAGATATGTTGTATCTCTTGTCTCTATCTTCTCTGTACGAAATATGGTGATATATATATATATATATATATATATATATCCATATTAGCCACTCCAGGCAGTTACACCACGTTTGAGAATAACCGTGGCAGTTTTTGGAAAACTGCACGAAACTGCCCAACCGCTCTAGACCTTGGTCTAGAACCACAAAGTTTGTCTACTGAGAGTTCTGCCTCGAGTTCCGCTGTCGTAGACACTTTGGAATAAAACTCGTTCTTATATACAAGTGTGCACTTCACACCTACTAGCTTGTATTAGAACACAATTCTAATCCCCATTGTCACTCATGTCATTTCCAATTACACAAAATGGGTGGTGACTCTAAAATCACCAACACTCCGGTCCAATCGTGTAGCAGTTTAAGGCTAAGGGAGACGAAAATCATCCTCTTTAATTTGGTTCTTTTACTCTTGAAATCGCAACGAACAAATAACATATCCGGGAGTGCAGCAAACTGAACATGATCGGTTGGATTTGCATACACAGCGAAGGCGGGACCACCACATTGGAGAGGGTAGTTTTGCGCCGCCAATAAAGGCCATATGGGGTATGCACAGAACATAACGATTACATAAACATCGATGGACTACCAATTAACGCAGGATTACAACATCCCTTGCTCTGTGCGGCTGCTGCGACTGGCCAGAGCAAGCATCCTCAATGGCGACGCGATTACACCGTCGAGCTCCAAGTTGCAAAAAGGGATCCTCTTGGACTGCTAAGACACCACACATTCCCCGTTGGCCTCCTAAAAATTGGCTTCAGGACTCTAGTAATTAAGTCAATTAGTTAACTTGGAGAGTTCAGATAGATATCACCTAAAGTCAGTTCTAGATGTCTCTTCTCCACACTCAAACAGTTTTCAATATGTCATTGAAAGCAAATACTTTACTTTCAATATTATTGATTGGAATGTAATTCATATATATGAATTGAAGCGTGGGATTTTATCTGCAACTGATCTTGATTTGGAAATTGTTTCCTGGTTGAAAGAATCCATTCCTAAGTTATGATCACGAGATTGGTCATGCCCTGGCTTGGAGTTGAACAATTTTATGATGTGTTACAATGCAAATCATTTTGAAAGTTTTAGTTGTATCATCGAGAAGTGACACGACTCTTTATTATACATGAAGAAAGGAAGGGATGAGGATTTATACTATTTCTGACAGGGATTACAAGAGTAATTAACTTGATGAAAGGGATCCTTTCTATCTTGAGATCTTGAGATCGTTATTCAAGTCATTGTTGAGCTTTCTGCGTTTATTGACAAATCTATGGTGTTAGATTATGCTGATCACCTTTGTAGTTTGGGCTTTCACCGGAAATCAACTCTATAGAGGATTTTTTTTCCCAGAGCTCTATGACTAACAGGGTGGAGTCACTTTCTCCATTTGTAGTCAAAGAATTCAAAAGAGTGCTCATCCATCTCCTTTCTAGGTAATCGAGACCCTTTACACGTGACACATATTGAAGCAGAGAATGTTAATGAGAATCCAGAGGTCAAACTTTCGAGCGGGTCAAACTTTTGAGCAAACCTTTCGCAGGTAACCACCGCTCTATAGTGGATAATGAAGATGTTTTTGTTGAACATTTTTGCTCTTACTCGGGAGATGAATTTCTTGTTCATGCTTTAGAGAGCGAGAAAAGAACTTCATTTCATCGATTGGGACTCAGATACAAATTAAATCAAAATTTATGCACCAAATCTAGGTTGATCACGGGGAAAATTGCTTGCCTATTGAGAATTTAAACACCCAAATTAAAATTTACAAGAAAAAATATCAACGCTATTACATGAGAACAAGATCGCGGTCACATATGGAATTGTGCAAAATTTACTGAGCTATTAGGTCTTGTAGGGAGGGGAGGGTGTTATACTCATTGTTGGTTGGGTTGGAGCTTTCTATCCCTTTTGTTTTTCTCTTGTTGAAAAAATGGTTCTACAAATTAATATTATGATTATTAATATTATTTGTAGTAAATCATTTTGAAATGAATGAGAAATTGTTTCCCGAAAGATAAGTGTGAAATTATATCTCACACGTAAACACCGTCGCCGCCGTCCGGTTTCGGGTTAGAGTCTTAAACCGTCCCCCGAGTATATGGCTTAAAAATAATTCTATTTCTCGTTCTCAATTATTTGGATAATGTTTGGCAATAGGCACATCCTTTGTTTTCAGGAGGGTCATAACCTTTCTCTCTAAAGGTGTCTTTTGGGTGTAGAGTCTCCTAGCCAGAGCTTTATATATACCCATGATTGCCTGCATTTTCATCGAATCCGAAATTCGCAAAACAGTTCCTTCATATTCTCTTTTCTTTCGTTGCATCTTTGAGTTCGCCGGAATCCCATTGGGAGCGAAGAATCGTTCTATCTTGGGAGACGATTGCTACGTGTGTCGGGCAAAAACGTCTTAAGGAAACAACGTTTACGTTGGGCACGGTTACAAGTAATCTTACGTTTTCCTTAATTATTTATTTATTTATTATTTCATTTGCATGCAGCATATTAGTACACATATATATAACATATGTCCCTTATTTTCATTTTTCCATGTTTCTGTGTTGTATTTCCCTTTCTCTTTTATTAATGAAACAATCTTTTCTAAAAAATGTAGAAATTAAATATATATTACATATGTAAGTTTGGAGTATCACCGTTGCACCATTTAAAGTTTAGGGTATTTATATAAAATTTTTCCTTTGACAGTTAAGTTATCTTTGAAACGATCAAATAAGATTATAAGAGCATTTTCAATGCAAAAAAGGATGACACCCCATCTCCGAGGGCCCCCAACACCGACCGGACATTTAGATGGGAGCCGTGGTCTCATGTATGATTCCAACGAATTGAAAATAATGGGTATCCATATATTCTCCTCCGAGATAAGTCCTAAAACATTTAATTGGATTACCCAATTGCAATTCAACCTTAGTTTTATACACTTTAAATTTCTTTAAAGCTTCATCCTTAGTGTGTAATAAATACACATAACAAAATCGAGTTGAATCATCAATAAATGTAACAACATACTTCTTATTGCCAAGGGAAGGAGTTGAGTGTAAATCACATAAATCGCTATGTACAAGATCCAAAATATCCGAATGGGTCTCTATCTCTCTCCTATGCCACATCACTACAATGATACAATCCACTCTCCTGCCCGTTGAAGATGATCAACCATCTCCAATGCAACAATGTGCATGGTACATGGGTATGACACGAGAGATAGACACATAAAAATAAATAATTGATTCCATGGTTTTATATAATTTGTGTAAAAATATCAACCACAATGTCTATATCTAGATATTCTTCTTGACATTGTGGAGAAAAACTTATCAAAAACATATAAGACCGTTGAAATAAGAAAATATATATTTTTCCTACTAATATTTGTGTGTCTATCTCTCTCATGCCACATATGCACCGTGCTCGTTGGGGCACTGGAGATGCTCTCAAAATCTACTCTCAACCAATGCTCTAAGGGCTTGTTTGGTTTGGGATAATCTTACATGAAGGCTAGAATGTGATGCAAGGAATGTTAGACGTCCTCCATGTTTAGTTCACTAGATTGAGAAAAATCGGGAAAGTTACATTCCCCGGGTTGTAATACGGAGGGAAATGTTCAACCCATCCATGCGTTAGGTTATTTGACATTCCCATGGATGACATCATTTTTTCCGAAAAAACCCTCAATTAATTATCTCTTTTCATTTAATTTCTTTATATATCCAACTTTATTTAAACAAATATGATTTTTTGCCACATTATAAAACTTTTAATGTAGTTTCTTAATATGTAAATTTTGTTTATTAAAAAAAATCTTATTATTAACAAAGATTAGTTAATTATATGGTCAGTCAATATCGTATATTGTGTGACAACCTTTTAAGTGGGACGACAGATGGAGTATGTTTATTATCACTTAATCTTTAATTCGAAAACATGTTTTACAAATAACTTGAACATTTTTTTTCGAATTGATAATAAATACATTTAGATTATTATTTGGACAAAGTTTTTTTAATTTCTGTATTGGATCTACAACATTTTATAATTAAACATACTTTACTTAAGAAAATCAATTAGTTTTGATTTCATTAAGTATTAAGATATTACTTTTTTTTTTGAATTTTAGATGTAGGCTATAATAGATTTACTGTGTTAAGAGACAAAATTTAAAGAACATTAAAATAATTCACCAAATCTGCAATATAAAATATCTTTCAACTGAATAAATTAATTTCACATCCTCTTAGAATGTTTTTACTTGGACTGTTTTCAGTCTCAAACCAGATTTAAACAGATCAGATTAGACTTAAACAGACCAGATCAGACTTCTTTAGCTATAAAATACACAGATATCAGACTATATATAAATAGACCAAACAAACAAATTACGGTTCAAATAAAAACATCCTTAATTTTATCCAAACATTCTCATAAATGTAACATAGTCAATTAGTCACTCATCTAACCATCTAACATTCACTTGATAATCCCAGGGTTCCTCATTTTTTCCCCATTGTTCCTCTTCCGAATCGAAGAGAGAGCAAAGTATAGCAGCTCAATAATCAATATCCCTCTGCTTCTGGCTGCCAGCATCGGGCTCCGCCTTGATTTTTTTACCAGTGCTCATCCCTCAACCGACAACATTACTCTCAAAAGCCAGATTTCCCTCTGGTAGCTTTTGCAGTAAAGACCATCCCGAGCTCGCAACTTCTTGTATCGGATTACTTATTTGGCTTCCTGGTGCTCAAGACTATCATTGTTAATCCGTTCTTGTGAGGTAAGATTTTATTTTGAATTCTTTAATTCCTGATAAATTCATCTCCCTGAGTCTATCCCTGATGGCTTGACGGTGAAGTTTCACCCCACCCCAGTCCCCAAACCCCTGAATATTTTGATATTGAAAAATGAACATAAAAGTTCACTACTCCGTATTATTATTGGTGGGGATGGATTTTTTTAATTATTCTTTTGATGTGACATTTCCCTTCTATTACAGACCGAAGATGGTCTACGGATCAACCGCGTTTGAGTACGCGTTTGGCGTATAGACAGACATATAACTTTCAAATTTTTTGATGGCTCACCTGTGGGCAAGTCAACACAGTCCCAATCAGTGGGTATAAACCTATGATTCATACCTTTTGTTGGGTTTCTATTGTCTTTCAATAGTCCCACCCAAGAAGGCTTGCTACACATAGAAAAGTGCAACCTTTAGGACTTGTATGTTTTGTGTATTGCCACCTTGAATCATACTTTTTCTATAAATAGAATCAATTATTTCTGTAATCATAAACTCAAACCACGGTGGTCACATATATGTGCATTCTTTTTTCTAAAATCAATTGAAACCACGGCCTACAATGATATGCTTTACCAAACAAGACTTGGGCTCCGTTTGGAATCATAATCGGATGAATGCTCACACTCAGCACTCAGCAGGTTCAGACATAATTATTTCTTTCTTCCCGAAAGTTGAGCACATTTGTCAATATTAGCCAAATAAACTTACTAAAGTGGTACTTAGTTCTGTTTTGTACCTCTTGTTTCAAATGTCTCAGATGAACTCATAATAATTTTAAAATACGGAATAGAAAGAGGATATAACAGCTTTCCTTTTGGGATGAAAATGGTATAAAGGGTTCGAGTAAGAATTCTGTTTGAAATGATATTTACAGCATTGTGGTGATAAAAAGGTGATATGAGTTTGAGATGATCTTAGAGCCTGTAATTTTCTCAAGTACATATGGGATTAAGAATTAGGATATATTTCACAACAGCCTTGTCAATCGTGATTATATAGCAACTTTGATCACAATTATCGGTGGCCTTTATGACCTGTTTTTCTTTCAATTTTAAGCCTCACATATGCTAAAGAGGATATGCACCATATCCTTCAACCTTTTCATTTGTTAAAGTTCTGAGTTAATTCATAATTGAGCCGTGTTATCTTAACAAGGTCATATTGCACATGGGCCCCACTTTGTTTTTTTTTTCTCAGCAGGTTTTGCATGTAATGTACTTGCGTAGCTTCCTAATTGGATTATGAACTGATCATCTCCAATTCTACCTGAATAATATGGGCAGACAAAATGCTTTCCTGTCTAAGGCAATCGTCATCATCCATAACAACCAGAAATACCCAATTTTCACAGTCAAGCATGGACGGTAATTTTCTTAAGCTCTCCCAGTTTTAATGTTTTGCAGCTTTGGTAAATATAAGAACACTGTACATATTGTTGAGTGATGTTTCATATCGACTAACTATGAGTGAACTCCTTATTAAGTGATGGACATTGCAGAGTTCTTTAGTGTTGAGTTAATACATATTTTGCTTGTAGGGATTTCAGCTGCAAACACACCAAGGTCAAGTGACCAAGCCACACCTTCCTCTGTCAACCTCACCCTAGAATATACCCTCGCCATTAAAACCGCTTCCTATTGTGAAATATGGTCCAAGATTCACTACAAAGTCTCATCTTACCATGATGATGGAGAGGAGGAACCACCCCAAGTAGATATACAAGAGATCCTTAAACCAAGTCATGAATGTGTCAAAGATGCACTTTCCCACATTAGACCCAATGACACCTTAAGCCAATTTGTCATCAACTACTTTGAACATAGTGAACAAACGTTTCGGTTCTGTCTTTTCCTTGCCCAGTGCATAAATCGCGCTCACCGCTTGTATTCCCCTCTTCATAAGCTCATTGATCTATTTTCCATAGATCCTGAAACCCTTACAAACTCTGCTCATAGTAACAAGGTTGATCCTAACTTATCCCCAACCCATTGTGAGTGGGTATTTGATGCCTTTCATGAGTTCGAGAAACTAGACAATCCCTTCCCGGGCCCAGAATCCCATAGCTTCAGCAACATGCATAGCTCCTTCACTCAACTCAAGCAATATCTTGATGTTCACCTGCAAAAGTCGCGCTCTAAGGTACTATTATGAATATTATTTATATTTTTTGTCACTATATTATTTCTCCCACCTCTCCAGAAATTTCAATCACATGGTTTTTACTTTATTATTTTTTGGGAAAAGGGTCAAATAGAGTCTTCTACTATTTCCAATCCGTCACTTAAGCCCTTCTTTTAACAAAGCATCATATAAGTATGCTTACTTTTTAAATACAATCAATTAGGCCATCAAGTATGCATTTCTAGGGTTTTAATTAATTAGAAGGAGTCCAGTTTGATGTTATCTTTATATGGAGTATTTTATTTATTTATATATTTATATTTATTTATTGTTTCATATTAGTAATAGAAGTATTAGAAGTTACAGTTTTAGTTAGAGTAGAACTCTCATGTAAAGGCAGACTGCCTATTTATACTTTTTTTCAGCATTAATAAAACCAGCGATCATTAGAAGAATTAATCCCAGAGAGAAGTCACAGACTCCCCCCCTCCTTCCCTTGCGATCTTACTGCACTCTTCCAACCACGGGCAAGAAGAGGCGTAACCCTAGCAGGCAGGTTACCACCTCAACCGGGCACCCTGCTACCCCAAGTCATCCCTGGACCCGTTCTCAGTCCCAGAACCCTAACAATTTGGTATCAGAGCCGTCAAGATCCATGGCGCCACCGCAAGATGATTTTTAACCACTATGATGGAGTTTATGGAGGCTATGACTACTAGGGTAACCGCCATAGAAGGGCAGATTGCTTGCTCTGTCTCTGGCATTCCACAAACTTGATTCCAAATCAATAGAAACACATGAAGAGCCACCCGATAACAACCTGATATCACATAGCACCTGGAAGCCACAGTATGTGAAGATGGAATTTCCTGGGTTTGATGGCACCTATGACCCTACCAGTTGGTTGAAAAGGTGCGAAAAATTCTTCTAGAACCAAGAAACTCCTGCTGTTGAAAAGGTCATTATCAGCAGAGATGCTAGCATTGATCATAAGAGATATAGAACTCTGCAGGAAATATATGATTCAATCAGAAAGATTGAAGATGAAGTTGGCCTATGCTTTCTAGCTGTTGATGAGCCTAGAAACTATGAGGAAGCAGCTGTGGATAAGAACTCAGAGGAAGCAATGAAACAAGAAATCACCTCAGTAGAGAAGAATGGAACCTGGGAACTTACTGATATCCCACAGAACCAGAAAGCCATTGGACTATCAAGAGGTATTTGCACTTGTTGCAAGATTAGAGACTCTTCTGGCCTTAGCTGCACAAAAAGGTTGGGAAGCACACCATATGGATGTTAAGATAGCTTTTCTAAATGGTGATTTGGAGGAAGATGTATTTGTGAAGCAGCCAGAAGGTTTTATAGACAAGAATAATTCAATAATCCAAACAAAGTCTTTAAACTTCATAAAGCCTTGTATGGATGAAAACGAGCACCAAGATCATGGAACCTCAAACTGGATAAGTGTCTGAAGTCACTAACTTTTGAGATTTGTCCTTATGAAGATGTGTATATCAGGCAGAATGAGCATCATGTTATGGTAGTAGGAGTATATGTTGATGATCTCATTCTGACTGGATCAAGTGGTGAGATAATACATTGTTTCAAACTTGAAATGCCGAAAAGTTTTGAGATGAGTGATCTGGTCTTGTTAAGTTACAATCTTGAGATAGAAGTACAACAAACATGTACAGTGTTAGTTTGTGCCAGACAGGATATGCTAAGAAATCTTTGAAAAGCTTGGAATGGTTGAATGCAATCCTTGTTATATTCCAATGGAACCAAGGAAAAAGTTGCGCAAGTAGGAAGGAGATCCTATGTCAAATCCTACATTCTACATGAGTATAATAGGTAGTTTGAGGTATCTTGTCAATACAAGACCAGACTTGGCCTATTCAGCAAGAGTGGTAAGCATATATATGGTAGCACCAAAGGCACACTTAATCTAGGTTGTGTATACAAGAAATATCAATCAGGTGACGAACTATATGGGTACAGTGACAGTGATCTAACAGGAGATGTTGATGGCAGAAAAAGCAACACAGGTATTGCATATTTTTGGTGTCACAAAAACAAAGGGTGGTGGCCTTATCCTCGTGTGAAGCAGAATATATAACAGCTACACCTGGAACATGTCAAGGGATCTGGCATTGAAGACTAATGAAGAGTCTACCGTTCAGGGAGAAGAAGCCAATATTGTATGTTGATAACAAATCTGCTATCTCCCTAGCTAAGAATCCAGTATACCATGAGAAGGGCAAACATATTGATACAAGGTTTCATTTCATACGTTAATGCATTGAAGGAGATGAGATCAGGCTGGAATATGTGAGAACTGACATTCTCACAAAACCACTCTCAAAGCAAGGGTTCGTTCATCAGCGTGAGAAATTGGGCTGAGTTTATAAAATGAAGATGCAAAGTTTAAGGGGGTGAATGTGGAGTTAAACTTTGCTTAGTCATGTTTAGTTTGATACGTGGAATTTCCATCTTACTTAGTATTTGTTATGAATAATTTTACGTAAAGGCAGTTATAGTTGCATCTTGCATGCATGATCAAGTAGTGGGTTAGTGGGTTAAAAGTGGTGTGAGTAACTGCATTGTAATCATCAGTTGTTGCTTCGTTTATATATGAGAAAATGTGTGAATCAACTTTGATCACCACAAAAAAAAGGAAAACCATCTGTCCATAGTTTACTGCATGGGTACGTATGCATGCTTGTGTTTGTGCTTAGCATTCAAAGTATATTCAAATTCTCAACATGGTGATCTAGTATTACAGCTACCCTAATTCTCTTCTTGGTGGTCGGGACTAGTATAAATAGAGGTGCTATATTCCTAAGAGATTTTCTTTTCATCTCCCGATCACGCCCATAACATATTCTCTCATTCATCAATTGCAGTAACTAACCTTTGCTACCTACTATCTGTACAGGTGCAACTTATCCGTGGTGCCACCAAGGGCACTGCCATATGCTTAATTGTAACTACTTTTGGGGTAGTCTTAACCGCCGTTTTTATAGCTGCTCATGCTCTGGTTGCCTTGGTTGCTGCACCAGTGTGCCTTCTTCTTATCCCTTCTAAGATGACTCAGGAAGAAATGGCCCATCTAGTCCAACTCGATGACGCAGCAAAGGGTTTGTTCGTCCTTCACAATCACCTGGAAACTGTTGATTGTTTGGTGGCTCGTTTGCATAATGCGATGGAGGACTATAAGCGCCTTGTCCGTTTCGGGATTGAAAGAGGAAAGGACAGTTATCCCATCCAAGAGGTCATTTGTCAACTCCAAAAAAAACACGACAATTTCCTTGAACAGTTGACTGGTCTTGAGGAACATTTGTGCCTTTGTCTTGCTGCAATAAATCGGGCCCGGTCTCTCCTCCTTAACTATTTTCATCTTCATCAACATCATTCTTCATAGTTTGTTTTTTAACACATAACGGCAAATTGTTCTTTACCGCTTCCATTGGAGGAAATTCTATATTTGTTTCACGTGAAACCAGTTTTGTTGAAATGACTGAATTATTTTCATAACATATTGTAATTAGTCAAAGAAAATAGTGGTAGAAATGTCAATTTTATCAGTATATAGCTAAAAAAAGACTCGTGAGCTACTGATTTTTAGTTATAAATTACTTTCATCAAACGTGCTCTCAAGTCTCAAAGAGTCAAAGTTGAGGCATTTGTAATACTTCTCATTCAAATGACCAAAACCACGAAGTTTCATTCAATTTTTCTTTGGTTGATCCCCGAATATTTCTTTTTTATGCTCCCTTTTCTGATTTAGATAATCCTTTCCTTTGTATCACCATCCATCAGATTTTTAAGTCAAATTATTAAGTGATTATTCTATTGACATGACGAATTATTTAGGGGACATGGTTGAGTGAGAGAGATTATTGAGCAGAATTAATTGATAGAATAATCTGAGATCAAAATATGAAACCGGATTATTTTTAGATTATTTATGAAATTAGAGTTAATTAGTTAATACACACAAAAGATCAGATTATTTCGGGATGATGGTTGAACGTAATCAAAGGTGATGAGATTATTTCTAAAACAATTATGTGGCAAATATTAAAAGATAAGAATCACAAAAAATCAGATTATGTTAGAAGCATGAATATGGATGCTCTTAGTTCCTTTGTGTTTTCAACGATCTTGCTTGCAAATATACCTTCATTGCCAAGTGACTACATTCTTTCACTGAATACTATAAATTTTGAATTTGTAGTCCAGTCTTCTATTAAAAACACTTCCAATTTCCGGTCCCAACACTTTCAAATTCCAGTCCTAACATATTCTACTCATTGGAAAGCTACAAATTCAATGAAACCCCATCAAGAAACAAAAAAATTCTAGTCACAACAAGTAGAGAACTTAAAAAAAATACTTTGTAGTACTTGCACCGTTACTCAGAGTAACAGACAAACAAGTAGAGAGAATATAGGACGAGGAAATTGTCTTCTGAATTCAACTAAGTGATTTGCTACAAATCTAAGTACATTACTTTCGAAAACTGTTTTTCAACAGACAATTTTAACACGTAACTCAATCAACACAATTTTCTTGGGCTTAGTTTCTTGTTTTATTTTATTTCCCTTCTAAGAAAAACAAAAAAATTCCAAGTCACAACACCACACCAAGTTACTCTTTTCTTAGGGAATTTCACTAATGAACCGAATTGGTTCAAGAGCTATTCAGTCATATTCTACCCACACTTGGGATACCCTCTTAAGATTTACGGTTTGTAGATTACAAAGTAATTCTAACCTCCCAACTAAGATTAAGCTTAAAAAATATCTTTAAATAAACTAGTCTAAGAGCTTAATAAGTCTGAGTGAGTTTTGAGTGAAGTGATAGATTAGCGCTTCCTCTTTGCTAGATCTTCGTATAAGTTTGTGGTGATTGCTCTAGCTCACATGCTTCTTCTGCTTCACACTTCTTCTGTATTTGTAGACCATTTGATGTTGAATATCTCATGTTGGCTGAGGAAATTCAATCTTCACCGTTGATTAATCCACTTGGTTTGACTATTGAAGAGCATGAACTTCTTTTGTCCTCCTATGGTGTGTCTGCAACTCTTTTTGTAATTATACTACCTCCTTATTGTAGTGAAGTATTTTGAGGAGTATGTTTGGATATACAAAATCATTCGTCGTATTTTCGTTTTGATTTTAAGACAATCCATCCAATCGCTCATTTAATACTTCTACTGTTTGAGAGTCCCATGCAAATAATATTGAGAATTCTTTTCTTTTCAATAATTCTGAAGTCTTCAAAAATATGTAAAAGCCATATGTTTGTTCGCAATATGTAGCAGTAATTTTTCTTGGCCTTTGGTTTTTTATTTATCTTCTTCAGAATTACTGTGGGTCCCATGAGAAGTAACACTTTGTGATTTTGACTCTGTTGCGAGAGAGATATTTGTAAAGAAAATTTTGATAGTTAACTTTGGTTTGGACAACAAACTTTGGTTCGCAGTTCGCTAGTCCTGAACTTGTGAGCCGGCTTGTGAGATACACTAGCAGGCTGCTGCTGAAGGAAAAATTCCAGTTAAATCTTTTCTCGTACCTTTTCTTTTTCTTTGGTGCTTTTTATCTTTTTAATACTCTTATTTGTGTTTTCTTTTTGTATGAGTATTTTTCTTCTTTTTTGAATTTAAAAGCAACAGAAATTACGTCAATCCAAGTAAATAAATAATACGGAGTAACTACCACGTTTAAGATTGGAGTGTACACAGTATAAATTATGGTTCACTGTTAAATTCATGGACGAAGCCATAAACAAGTACCACTTATGTCAAGTAATACTACAAATGCAACATTATACTAAGTACGGAGTATAAACTAAGAGAAAAGTAATTTAAATATCTCAAACTTTGGAGAGGTGTGAACAGTGGACCCCTCCATGCACATGTAATATGCATCATGATTATATACTTTTTCACAAATGTAATTTTATAATGCAAAATATATACATAATTTAAAACACCCAAAACATTTATAAGGATGCAATTAAAATTAAATTGTATCGGTGCAATATTATTTATTTCACAAACAGGGATGGATTTGGGGGGGGGGGGGGGGGGGGGGGGCCCTTGGACTTTCAAAAATTTCTATAATGTATATAGTATTTTTCATAAAATTTTAATACTTTAATTAGATATTCATGTATTCGCCCCCCTTACCTTTTGATTTTTAAAACTAATATTTAGCCTTACATATTGTAATGCATAATTGAAAATTTAAAAGAAGAAACATCTAAAATTATTTACATAACTTAAGCAAATAAACAATAGAACAACTCATTGTTTAAAACTTATGATACTTATTTTGTTCAAAAAAAACTTATGATACTTATTATATAAACATTCCTAGTTTTGTAATGTTTAATTATATATCTTTATTAGATAGTTAGTACTCGAGTTCGTAAAATATCAAAAGATATTAAATACGAGACACACTAGTTAAAAAGTTTTTACATCATGTGAATTGAATCCAAAATATAGATGTTTGTTGACATTAAATTAAATTACACGTACTGTTCATCTACTTCTTACTTTTTAAAAATAATGTATTGCATTAGATATTAAACTTTAATTTATTTTAGCATAAATACAAATACAATATGCATCGTATATATAAATTAGCAATATACTTCGTAATACGTAGTATTATTTTAAAAATATTAAAATACTAATCTCATACATATTATTATAATATTAAGAAAACTCCTAGTGGCAAAAATTGCAATTCAAAACCAAATCATTATTCTGATAAGATTCATGTGGTTAAACAAGACAGAAGTTATTAAAAAGTAATGGTCGATGTTTACCTTTTAAACTTTTTATCTTCAAATAATTTGATAAAATGTTATATATCCCTTTTTATTTTCAAATAATTTTTCTCTGATTGTCACTTCTTACACTTCAATGTATCAGTACTCTTTTCTAGAGCACTTCAATTATAAAACCAAAGTTATCTTTCCATTGTCTAGATTTAGAGTGTACTACTAATAGATTTAAAGCTTAAGAATGTCAATGTGTATGTATTGATGGATTTTTTTTGAATAAAACCTAGTCGCATAGCCCTACTACAGTAGCGAAAAAATTTTGCGCGCGCTACATTAGCGAAAAAATATTCGCCTCAATGCATGCACTAACGAAAATATTTTCACCCCGACACTAACGAAAAAATATTCGCCCCCCTTGACTCAAAATCCTGGATCCGTCCCTGTTCACAAATGCAAATTTTATAATATTAACTACATTTTAAAAAAGGCTTAGAGTAGTTTAAATTATGTAATTATTCTGATAAATTTAAATTTGTAAACCAATAATCATGGTGTAGAAATAAGTATTAAGCATTCCTTTTGGTCTTTTAAAGCCAAGCATAGGTTTGACTTTTGTCGCAAATAACAATGGTACATGGATATAAAAAGAAGTGGATTTTGGCCTTTTGGGTTATACTGTTGAAGGGTCACAGAACGATAAAAGTTGTGCCCCAAAATGGGATTGGGGCTCTCTGTAAAATATATGGTACTCCATACCTTAGTGTGATGCGAAAGGACCGATAGGCGTAGCTCAACTGGTAGCGAGGGAGTGCCACAATGGTTAGGTCCTGGGTTCGAATTCCGGCAACTGCGATGCGAGGTTACTATGCTAAAAATGCATAGGGTCTCTGCAAGTACCGAGGACGGAGCTCCAATCTCTATCTGTCAGATTGTGATTATAGTCCAATTTACATCCTCCTATCGTGCCGTCTGGTCGGTGTTGAGGGACCCTCAGGGATGGAGTGACATCCTTTTGTGATGCAAAAGGAGACTCACATATCTTGCAATGTACGAGTAATTGAAAAGAAAGAAATGTCGGGCCTCCCTGGTGGGGTGCAATTGATGCACTAGTGATTTAGAGACTCCATATACAAAATAGAGCAAGGTAGTGTATCAAATTTTACCCAAGTTCATAGCGAAATCAGAAATGTTTGTGAATTTCACTTAATACATTGTAAATGAAGTCGAAACACTAGATTTAGAACTTAAAGTGATATTTCTAACGAGATAATATACGCTTGAAACCGATGCACATAATTTAAGATATGCGTGTCACAAATATTTAATTTGTTCTTTATGATTTAGCGTTTCACCGTAAATAGAACATTTTTAATTCAAATACAGTCTTATTCTGAAATTCATTGTATTAGGTAATCATCGCGTAATATTTTGAAACCGGTAAAATTTGGGATACTTATCTCACTTTCTACTAAAGTTTGGGGTGTTTACACCCCATAAAATAATGATAAGTATATGAATAAAATAAAATAATGAATAAAAATGTCATTTTTAATTCATCATGAGCATAGTGATAATTGTAATGAACATGACCATATTCAATTTTACACCGTATTCAATTTTACGGCAAAATGATCATGTCATTGATTTAAGTGACATGCCCCCCCCCCCAGTAAGTTATACTTTCATGGAACGAATTCCATAAAATATAATTAATTGATAAAAGTCTATTCAATCACATAAGTAACATTTTTTTTAATCAATGGCTGCTTGTATAATAAACGAAAATGACTTAGGATGAATAAAATTGAGTACAAAAACTTACGGAGTAATAAAGATAGTTATAAGCATTTCCCCAATAGTTATAAAAGGGTCACATATATTGATTAACATACACGCCGTAAATTGTGTACAATCAAAATAAATAAGATATTTTTTCGTATAATTGTTTCGTTATCTTTTTACTAAAATATAGTTTAAATATTTTTTTTCACAATTTAGCAGAATCAGTTAAACCATCCATTCGAGTCAGAACTTCATAAATTTCAGAAAAACCAACTAATTCAGACATTCCAATGTTACCAAACGGGCTCTACAAGTACAAATTAGGGGTGGACTCGGGCTGGTTCGGGCCCGGTTCGGGCCTGGGCCCGGCCGGGCCTTGGTTCTGTTTTGTTGGGCCCGAGCCCGAACCGGTAGCCAGCGGTTCCGGTTCCGAGCCTGCTCGGGCCGGGCCACCCGGTTTGTAATTTTTTTTTGGCTTCTCCTATTTAACCCCCAACCCACCCCCCTCACCCCCAAACCACCCCAAACCACCTCAAATGGCCCAAAATACCCAACCCAGCCCAAAAACTTAAAAAAAAAAATCAAAAAAAAATTAAATTAAATTCAGCCCGGACCGGGCCGGCGGGCCCGAACCGGCTGGGCCGGTTCACCAAATGGAGGGCCCGATCCCGCAACCGAACCCCACCGGGCCGGGTCGACCCGAACCGCCCCTGGGCCGGGCCGCCGGTTCGGTCCGGTTCAAACAGTGACCGGGCCGGGCTGGTTCCGGGTCGGGCCGCCCGGCCCGAGTCCAGCACTAGTACAAATAGTTTAAACCGAAAATAAAAATACTACATTATTGTTTCACTTTCTAATTATAAATCATTCTTTCAATCGTACATGAAAAACTTTGAGATGGGGAGAAATTATTTTATACCTTGACTCTGTTTATTAAAAAAATTAGTGATGTCATTTTAATGTGCGCTGTAAGTACATTTGATTACATTTCAAATTTACAACTCATCTGAAAATGAAGTTTAGGCTATTGTCCCTTATTGTGGTGACTATCCAAGTAAGCAATGGCAACAGCAGCATGAAGAGCTGCTCCTATGGGCAAAACACGTTCATCCATAATGAAGTGAGGACTGTGAAGTCCTTTGATGGAGGATCCCATTGTCTCATTTCTTGCACCAATAAAAAAGAAAGCCGCTTTCTTTTTTAGTGCATAAAAGCCAAAATCCTCAGCAGCCATTGTGATCTGGGCATATTCCACATTTTTCTCACCGAGCAAAATGCCTCCGACTTCCTTGGTATGTTCGTACATCCCTTGGTCATTAAGGGTTGGCGGGTAGGGTGTCCGTTCCCCTGATAGGTACTCCACCGCTGCAGAGCATTGGTAAACTGCTGCTTGTGCCTCAATTATCTGCAAGTAAACACCTTATGACAGTTTTTTTATTTTTTTCTATCTTATGAACTAGACTTTTCATCAAACATAAATTTAGTTTTTGTCTAAAAAAGTTAAATACAATGTTCATATAGTTATATACTCCGTATTAATCCTCCAATAACATTTCAAAATATATGGAGTAGTTTTTGATCACTTCTGGACCAAGAATATTATCTAGTTATTATCATTTTTTTACATTTTTGTAACAATACTGCGATGATTGTCTTCGAAAATGAAAAACGTGAATATTTGACCTATTGGTGAGAAATTGTAGGATATTGATTTTTTCTTTACTCCAAAGAAAATATATAGCATAGATAGAACAAAAGATTGAGATAACATATCAATTACAATAAAAAGTACTCCGTATTTTGTTTCATCAATAAAAGGAATTAGGGTCTTCTTAGTTAGCATACATCAATAGTTAGCATATTAGCTACTATTGACGTATTATTTAGCTTAACGATTTCCCCAAACGATTTTCCTTTCATAAAAAGCAACACATTCAGCCATTCCATTTCACCAAACCTCACCTACAGGGTCTGAATTTCAAAATTTAGTTATTTCATAAAAAGGATTTGTTTGAATACCAAATCCATCCTGTTTTTGTGAATTCAATCTTATATGGACAAAATAATTGATTTTTGAAATGTAGATGTTATTGGTGTTTGATTTCCATTGTATGTAAATATCTTTATATTCTGAAAACATAGAGTTAGAGCATTCAGTAATTCTATCATAACTTTAAATTTCCTTTCATGAGGGACTAAAAACTACTGTAGTGATATTTAAAATAATAAACCTACTATTATCCCACAATAGAGAGACTAAAAGTATCAATTTCCCATATAAATTGCACAATTAGTCAATTACCTCTTTGATTCGTTGTTGGAGATAGGATGAACCATCAGAAGTCAAGTAGCGAAAAGTTCCACCAAACTTCACTTGATCTGGTATCACTTCTTTTGAATGACCAGCCTCTACAAATCCAATTGATACTACCTGCACAGCAGAATACAAAGTTTCACCATAAGTAAAAGAAAAATTGAGCCTATTAAATACTTGGTGAACAAAACTGTAATGTGTTTGGTAACCCTGTTTTGTTTTCTGATTTCTGAACGGAAAACGAGAACAAATGTTTCAGAGCAGTGCTTTTGGTTTCCTAAAACAAGATGTACAAGTTATTGGCAAACGTGAATTTCTTAGGATGTTTTTAATTGAACTGACTTTAGTCATAGACCAGACTAGACCTGATCGGACCAGATCAGACCAAGTCACCAAACCAAAGCAGACTTCAACAATAGTAAAATACACCTAAAAAAGACATCTAACATATCGGACCAGACTTAAATAGACAAGACCAAAAAATATTTGTCCAATTAAAAACATCCTTAGAGCCCAAGTAACTTTTAGCTGAAATGGATGAAGTTAATACTTTTAGTTTTGTTTTATTTTCAGAATCTCAGATATCATTTTTCATGACAACTTGAGCAATCCAAATCATTTTTTGTCTTACCAAATGTTCTCTTGAATTCATTGTACAATCATTTTTGGTGTACATAAAATCTGTACACAGCTTTTTTCTAAATGACCTTGCATGTACTAGGGCGTGTACACATTTTGTGTACATTTTACACTCATGTGTACACAAACAATTGTTGTTTTTTCTAAACGAGATGTCAGGATGTTTTTACTTGGACTGTAATTTGCTGGTCTGATCTAGTCTGTTTAAATTTGGTCTGGTCTGGTCTGTTTAAGTCTGGTTTGTTCTGAACTGGTATGGTAATATCTGGTCTTTGGGTATTTTATAACTACGGAAGTCTGGTCTGGACTGATATGATCTGTTTAAGTCTGATCTGGTCTAGTTTGTTACTCTGTTTATGTCTGGTCTGGTTTGGTCAGGTCTGTTTTAAGTCCGGTCTAGAACTGAAAACAGTCCACGTAAAAACATCCTCAGTGCACACATGAGAGTGTGACAAGTGTGTATAAATTTTGTGTACAAATAGAATTTTTCTTCATTGAATTTACATGGCATATATATATTTCTAAATTTTTCTTTATCGAATTTCAATTAAACCTGCATTAATGTATGGCGTAGAGTTTTTAGTGTTGAAACAATGTCACATTTAAAAGATTAGTTTGACAGAGATCCGTATGTTGTGTTGGATATGTGGACTTGCCAGAAAAGATCGCTTGAGGAATGAGACAATCAATCAAAAGGTGAAAGTAACACCTAGAGAATATAAGATGCAGGAGTCTCGATTGCGGTGATTTGGTCATGTGCGTAGAAGACCGAGTGATACACTTACTAGACGAGTTGAGAGGTGGTGAGAAGAGGCGAGCAGGAGAGGGAGAGAAAGACCCAAACAGACATGGATTAGATGAATCAGAACTGATATGTTTCTTCTTATGTTGCAAGAGAGTATAGCTTTGGTAAGAGCAATATAGAGGGCACATATTTGTGTGGAGCATGGACGATTGATCTATTGTATCTCTTTTTTCTCTCTTTCTTTTACTTTTATCTTTTTTATCTTTCTATGTTCTTATGCTATTTTTATTTCTCATCTTTCTTATGTTCTTTTATCTTTTATCTTTCTTGTGCTATTATATTATTTTTATCTTATATTTATCTTTATTTTATCCATTTTAGCTTACCTTATTTTTTTTAACTTTTCTTATATTTCTTCTTGATTTGGCGCTAATATCATGGATCGACTCATGTTAACCGACCCCAAAATCTTTTGGAAATAAGGCTTGAATTTTGTTGTAGTATTAGATAACAAAAACAAAAAATAGAATGTAACATTACCAAATGAGTGTAACGATTCAGATTACATAGAGATGATAAAATACCCTGGGCTCAAGAGGATCTGTTTCTCGAGAAACAAGATGTTGGAGAGCAAGAATGGCCATAGATGAGGCAAGAACAGTATCTCGGGTTTTATGCGGAGTAGCTGCATGCCTACCGTTGCCTTGTATTACAACTGAAAACCTGTTTGAGCCTGCAAGCAAGGGCCCTGCTCTTGAAGCAATTTTACCAACAGGCATACCTGGCCATATATGGAGCCCAAACATTGATTCTATATCATCCATCACTCCTTCCAATAACATATGGTTAGCCCCACCCATGCCTTCTTCAGCGGGTTGGAAAACCAGCTTCACAGTTCCCTGGAGGGAAACGATTCAACTAATTTAATGACAAGGTGAATAAAGCAAATTTGACCTTTGTGTTCTCAATTTCCAAACCTTCAAGTTCTTCTTTCTGCTTTGAAGCAATCTGGCTGCTCCAAGCAACATGGCAACATGAGCATCATGCCCACAAGCATGCATTTTACCATTAATCTTGCTCTTATGTTCCCATTCCACCAATTCCTTATTATAAACAGAAAAACTAAAATTTGTCATAAACATATGATGATAGAGAGATTTTTTCTGAACTGTTGATATAGAGACTCATATTGAAAGGTTGAAGAGAAATAAATGAGTTTATAAATACATTAAGTTGGACTAACAAAGATTACAAATGACCTTGTGCCACTTAGCAATAGAAGGGTGGGTATAAGGAGCTTGGGACGGATGGGTCTCGGGTCAAAGTCCCTCGGGTACATTGGTGTAATGGTTAATATTGGTCATATGTGGCAGTGAGTGAGACTGGATCGGCTCGCAGCGGAATACTACTACGGCATAGATGGGATTCTAGCATGAAGAAACAATCACTTTGAGGCGACTCTTCTTGGTTCCAGTCATGCAAGGGGTTCTGCCTCTAGATACTAGAAACACCTCAACCTGAAATATCAACTTATAGGTTGCTTTCCTGCGTGAATAAATTAAAATCCACAAGAAACATGTTGAGGACACCCCCTAAATTTGTTTCTATACATTCTTTTCTTTGTTTTTAGAATAATATGGATACGTATATTGTACTTATTACTCCGTATATTTTTCAATCAAATAGTTCAACATCTTAACTCACTTTATTAGTCCCAAATTCCCATTCTCAATGAGTACAATAGTAACCTCTAACAATCTCAAATAAAAATTGAAGTACCTGAAGAGGGAGAGCATCCATATCAGCTCTTAAACCAAACGAAGGTCGATCGCCGGAACCAATAACAGCGACAACCCCAGTTTTGGCAACCGGCCAGGTATACTCGATTCCCAGAGCGTCAAGCTCATTTCTGATGAGCTGACTCGTCAAGTGCTCTTCGAACCCTAATTCCGGGTATTCATGGATACTCCTTCTGACCTGTTTCAACCAATCGGAAAAGTGGGGATCTCTGACCGAGTCCAACAATTCCCGACTCAGCTGCCGCAAAGAATTCGATCCTAAAGGAGTTGAGAGAGCCAGAGAGTAGGGGTGCCCGCTGGGAGTGGACAACCCCAGGACTAGGGCTAACAATGCGCACCTGAAGTACATCTCCTGCAATTCTCGTTGAGCTAACCTAACCAGTCTTAACTTTTTCAACAATGCTTGTACCCAACATGTATACACCCTTCCTAATGGGAACAGGAACCTCTGATTTGCTTTAGAACAAGACAAGGTGTACCCTTTGAGGGACAGTCGATCAAACCTTCAACTGTCACAGATAAAAGTCTACACTTCGATGCTTCTTTTTTCCCATTGGATGGCACTCTGCCTGCAAAGCCCTCCTGGCGTACGACAAAGACAATCATTGCTCGAAAATGGTTAATTAGCACGTTTTGGTGTGTGCAATGGTCTGTCTCGCACACAAATAATCAGCCTAATCATATACTCCCTTCATATTTTAAAGTTTGTTACACTTTTCTTATTTGGATGTATTTAAAAGTTTGTTAAACTTTTCATTTTTGGTAAGTTTTTGCATTTAAAAAATATTCCCTCCGTCCCGCAAAAAAGTTCCTAGTTTGACCAACACACATATTTATGTAAGGTAGAGTTTTGTTTTGACTTTCCAAATATACCTTTACTTTTTGTCAAATCAAACAAAAAGTGGGTAAAAAGTAAAGTTAGTTGTGACTTTTTGGTTAAAAGTGATTTTCTTTTATAGAAATGAGAACTTCTTTTTGGGACATCCATAAAAGGAAAGTGTGATCTTCTTTGCGGGACGGAAGAGTACTCAATTTCCTTACTTTTCCTACTTTTTATCTTCTTTTTCATACCTTTGCAGCTTCTTTCCTACTTTTTCTACACTATTTATTACCTCTACTATTTCATCCTTAAATATTGTGTCCAACCCTATTGTAAAGAACTTTAGAATACGGAGGAAGTACTACGTATAAATCTTCCAAGGGAAAAGGGTCAAAATGGACACTGAGATTTTTAATGAAGTGCATGGACATTAAGTTTTTTAATAGATCAAATAAACACAAAATTAAAGTTTTGAGAACTCATCGCCCACCCTCTAACATTTCCAAACGCTTCTCTTCCCTGTTATCCAAAATGGTCTAAAATGTTATACATTTTAATTAAATTCCATATCACTCTTCTAACTTTTAGAATGAAACTCAAATGTTGAATAGATGCCAATATAACCTGAATTCTACATAGAAATTGATTTTGCTTCTGCTTCTTTTAAAAGCAAAAACAGAGTCAAAATTACGTATTGAAAAGCAAGTATCTCCATGAGATTAGAATCTCACAAATTCAAATTTCTAACCCTAACTCAAATCCATGGCTTGTAAGTGTGAGATTATGTTAGTGAGTTGAGAAGATTGGAAGGTATTCAACTGCACTAACAAGGTTTGAAGACGTACGACTAGTCTCAGGTAATCTTTCAGGGTTGTTTTTGTTCGATACAATGAATGGGTTGGTTAATCTCAGATTCAACCATAGCGGGAGGTCGGTTCTGAAGCCAAAGTTACAGTATGTGAATGGGGATGTCGATACTGTTTATGGTTTTGACCCTGACTATATGTGTTATCATGACATTTCAAGAAAATACAAGGATGATTTGGGGTTTAAAATGCTGAAAAATATACGTAGTATATGTTTTAGAACCTGGAAAGGATTTGGACAATGGACTTTTCTTAGTTCACGATGATGACACTATAAGGAAGGTGTTAAATCGTATTAGGAGATTTTCATGGATTGATACTATTGAACTATATGATGATCATCAACTGGACAAACCCATTTTGATTCCCTTTATAGAAGGTTCAATATCTGAAATTGGTAACCATGAGAATGGTGATTAGAATGATGGTGGGCTGGGTGATGAGTCTGCCAATACATATGTGAGAGACCAAAGTGCTGAAGTGAACACTATTGATGTCCCAAATGGGTACGTTATAGATGAAGAACCAAATAGAGGTTCAGAAGATGACGAAAGCAACAATTCTGATCCATCCTCTAATAATGATGGTACAATGAATTATTACTTTGCAACAGATGGGTCAGAAACTCAGAATATTTTATGAATGGGATGACATTTGCAGATGTCGAAGAGGTTAGGATTGCAATTGCTAATTATGGAGTTAAATATGGTTACAAGCTGAAAATCAAATCGAATTAGAAGAACAGATGGGTCGTTAAATGTTAGAATGAGGAAGACTGCCCATTTAGATTATGGATTTCTCAAGATGGAAAAAGCTGTGGGCTGGCAGTGAAGATTTGTAACACTGAACACAAGTGTTTCTGACACTATTCTATCCTCTTCATTTCAAAGGGTATATTTTTACTTCTAAATGTCATGAGGGCTTTCTTTTACCATCTGGAATGTAACTACACTGCCAAATATGCCACTGTGATACAAGTAAGATGGTTTCTTATAAACTTCAGGGCTTGCTTAACACCTTGTGATAAGTTGTTAATATTTATTATTGCTTATTTTACAGTATTTGATATTAGTAGTAATCCACTGCCTAACCTTGTTAGTGGTGTTAAGAAATTTGAAGCATTGTTTTAATTGAAGCAAAGAAAAGAGAAATAAAAGCAAAAGTCGTTTTTGAACCCGCGTCCACTGAGCTGCACTTACAGGCCTGTCACCATTGTGCTGCTTTACATTCTTGAGATGAGAATGCGCTTTCTTATACATAAACCCATTTGTTCCGTAAAATCCAGCAATTAATGATTAATCATCTTATCGTTATATAGCCTTAATCCTTCTTCCTCCACACATAACTTCAAACCATTATCTCTCTACACCTCCCAGAAAAATTTCCTCCTCCTTCTCTCTTCATTCTTCACCTCCAAATGATCAACCAAAAATCAACCACAACCAATCACTTTCTCATTCAAGATTAAGTCAAGATTAGCACCAAGCTCCAAGGATTGTCATCTATCACAAATTTGATCTTCCTTATCTCATTAGATCTTGTACTTAAATCGTGGATTCATCTATTTAATTATACATTGTATTAGTTACACCACCAGGTTGGGTAAATAATATACGGAGTAGTTAATAATTAAGGTTGTCGTTGCACTTAAACAACTAGTCTCGTTTTGGCCATCACTGGGAAATGTTGACTAGTTACTTATTTTAGATGACTTGTGTTGGGTCCTAAATATTTATCTACAACTTCTCACAATCTATCTAAGAATAAAATTAACAATTATGTATCTCAATCACTTTTATTTCATTTATTTCCCAAACAAACAAAAATCAAAAGAAACACATTCTCAACTTTAATCCTTAGTTAGTGCTTAATTATTTTATTTCCCGCTTCTCTGTGGTTCGACACCCTACTTCCTTGGGTAAAAAACTGGTTGTGTGCCCATTATATGCTACACACAATTATATATGTTTGACACCCTTACTTTCTTGGTTCTGCCCATTTTCCTTTATTGTTGTACAATCCCACAGTCTCTTATTATCCTTCAACATGTAACCCAAAAATAAAACTTTTGCATTCATGCTCTCAAGGCTATGAAACTATTAAATTAGCTTTTCTATCATGATTCTTTACATAGGAATATAACCAAACCATCTTATTTGGCAGTGGATTTTCATCTTCTCAAATTGAAGTGTATAAACTGTTTACAAGGTTAAAAACACTTGTAAGAACAACATGTATTTTCTTTGTACTCAAACAACCATGTGGGCTCTCTTTTACTCATCTGTTACTTTCTTATTAACACTCAAAGTCACTAACAACAATTCAAATTGAGAACCAGTGCATAACAAGTAAACAATTTACAAGGTTATAACCAAACCATTTTACAAGGAACTGAAACTAACATACAAACACACATAATTGTAGAATAAGAACACACAACACTATAACAACATTCTTCTTCATTTTGGTTTTTCTTTCCAATTCCAGATGGGATGTATCCTTCTTACTGTAAACTTCTCCGATTTCAATCTCCAACTTTTGAGCAACACTATCACCTTCCAGTTCAAACATTACAGATTGTAGTCTCCTATTCTCCCGTTTCAGCTCATTGATAACATGTCTTGCTCTGTCTGTTAATGGCTCATCATCCCATTCAAAGAAGCCACATCCATCCTTCTAGGTATACATCAAACACAAGAAGATGAATATAATATGAATATCAATAAAATATACATATTCATGGTCTTCTCCAGTATTCTTTTCACATATTCATATGTGAAAAGAATAATTAAAAAAATAACTCATAATAAGGACTTCTATGAAATTGTCTCCCTGGATTCTTCTCAGTCCATGAAGTTCAATGTGGCGCTTTGACTTGAATCAGGTGCTTCGAAGCTTCAGTGAATCAGCAGACTCGGATTTTTGTGCCTCAGATGACCTCGATGCTGAAGGAGTATCCTTCATCACTGGTTTTTTCTTTGTAATCTGGTTGGGATTGTATTCATTAGGTATAAATCAATTAGGGTTGTTGGATATTTGGGATTGCATTTATTGGGAGTTTCTAATCTCATGGATCCGCAGGATAACGGTGAAAAGAAGCTCTTACGGGAAATATTAGAGCGTGGGTGATGAGGTCTCAAAACTTTAATTTTGTGTTTATTTGATCTATTAAAAACTGTAATGTCCAATATGCACTTCATTGAAAACCTCAATGTCCTTTTTGGCCCTTTTCCCATCTTCCAATAATTAACTATTTTTACTTGTAGGTTCTTCTCAATTCATTCTTTCTTTTCTCCTTTCTTTCTCGATCATTCATTTTCATATGCATTCAATGGAGGAGATAAGGGGCATGGGAGCAAACATCTAGCTTCATACCAAAAAACTTAGTTCAGTTACTTATAATATACTCCATCCTTTCCCTGAATTAAGTTCTCACTATCCCTATTGCGTAGTTCACAATTAAATCCACATTTTTATATTAGGAAAGTTTTTGGGTTAAAATGTCACTTTTACCCTCATCCATCCGCACCTCACCCGACTCAATCTTTACCCCACTCCACCACCCCATCTTTCAATCACTTCAACCCATCTCTCTCTCTCTCTCTCTCTCTCTCTCTCTCTCTCTCTCTCTCTCTCTCTCTCTCTCTCTCTCTCTCTCTCTCTCTCTCTCTCTCTCTCTCTCTCTCTCTCTCTCTCTCTCTCTCTCCACCTCCCCCCTCTCCCCCCTCCCTCCCACAGACACTTCGTTTTCATTCACCCGTTTTTCTCCCTCATCTCGTCGTAATCACCTCTCTTCTCCTTCAATAATCTCCAAAACATCCGTCGATTGTTGCTCCCTCTTTTCATACTCCATGCAACCCCCTTCACCCCCCCCCCATTTTCATTCGCGAGACGAGGAACATTCATCCCGTCAGATGAACCTTAATTACCTTCAAATCGTGAAATCTGCAATTTCAGATGAAAAATCATCACTCGATTCGCATCTCGGACATGCAACCCCTTGCAAAGCTAAATCAGTCCCATATCTAAAATACCCCCAACTTTTCAGAGTTCACTTCGGTGATACTAGTTTGGAAGAAACTGATCCGTATCGGAAAATCCGCAAGAGGTGTGGGGAGAACCTCGTCAATGATACATATGAAGGGTTGGATGGCATGGAGGAAGAAGGAGAGGAAGTTGACTCCCCGACATGGATGGTGAAGGCTCCAACGGCTGACGAGGGTGAGACCGAAAGTGATGGTGACTCTAAGGAGGTCCCTCGGTGAAGGACACTTTTCAGAGGAGAGTAAATTTCTATGCACTTTTGTTTCACCACTTTATTTGATACTGCTATGTGTCCTATTCTCTGCCTGCGGATAATGATAATTGTGCATAATTGTTACGAGATAAGTGTGGTAACTGATGATGTTAAGGGGCTTTGTTTTTAACATTCTGTGAACTATGTGTGCATATTTTGTACATGTGCAACCCGCATGTGTAAGGTGTAGGATGCACAGTTCTTACATTTGTGTTGTGGGGGTGAGTCTCTTTGTGCATTTTGTGGGCATTACAACTTATCCGGTGCGCACGACCGTGCAGACCCAAAGTCGCCACTTTTTGATGTTTTCTTTAAATTCAGTCCATTTTTGTCTATTTTTCATCACGAGCTTAGAGATAAACCCTAGAACGATTTTGAGACCTTTTCAAGCCCAGTGTTATCAAGATTTTGAGATTCTTTGTAAGTTCAATCTTTTTAATTAGTGACAATTAATTATTTTCTTCTCAATTCTATTGTTAATTCAATCATGAATTGTGAGTAATTTTAATTAGGGATTTGGGATTGATGAAGGAGTTAATTATGATCTAGGGTCAATTTCTTGATGGTTTAATTGCATGATCTTTATTTAATTTGTGTTTGAATAATTTAATTGATATCTTTTTTACGTGCACTTTGTCGTGGTGTGCACTCAAAGTAATTAATCAATACAACACTAATACGTAGTATAGTGTAGTGAGGTTCGTATCCACAGGGAAATGAATACTTTTCTTTTATATTACAACTAGTAACAAAGGGGGGATTTTAGTTGTGTTTGATTTTAATTAATTAACACTAAGATGAACGGCTTATGTGGTTTACTTTAATAGAGATGAAGACTTGGTTTTGCTTTTATCCACTTAATGAAATGTTCGTCGATCCCGGTTATATCTTTAACTATCTTCCTCTCGAATACTCAATCGAGGAGTATATCCAGTTCATCGAGGGTAGTTATTAATAACGAGACGCGTTCATTAATAAAACCTACTACCGAGTTAATATAGAACACGCGCCGTATATTATCCCGATAGTAGCAATAAAGTCAAGATGAAAACGATTGAGATTGATAATCTCAACACAAGCGGTTTATTGGTTTAATCAACATAATTAATTCCCCTTGGTTTATTAACCATGAAACGCATGCATTAATAACCCAAGTTTACTACCGTGAAACGATCGAACGATTAACAAGCGTATCCGTCGATCGATTCTAGTAATAATTAATATATGAAACAAAACTAGTTGATCCTTTAAGTAATGTTCAAAATATTAATATGAAATATGAATAGGAATTAATTAATACTCAAGGAAGAATATTAAAGAAGATGAATCCTACTATAGTTAATATCAACATGTTAACTAATTGTCATCTTAGTAACACTCCCCAATATTAACATAGAGGAAGAAATAATTATAACTATAACTAATGTCAAGATGTTAACTAATTGTCATCTTAGTAACACTCCCCAACATTGATATAGAAATAGTATTTAAAGGAAGAATTAATATTCAAGGAAGAAGATTAAAGAGAATAACTCACAACTTACAAATTCATTAAGCTTCAAAGTAGCAAAACCAAGATGGAAGAGTTTAGCTCCTCATTTGGAGACTAAACATGATAGAAAATATAAAGAAAACACTAATCTAAACTGAGCTAAAGAGTATATGTGAATTGGTGATTTTATTGTGAAGGAAAGGGGTGTATTTATAGGCTTTTGGGAGCTGTAGGGTCTGATACCCGATCGGGTATATAGGATACCCAATCGGGTATCTTAGGAAATTGCCCAGAAAGTCACTTTTCTGGGCATACCCGATCGGGTATGTCGGCATACCCAAACGGGTATGTGACAAATCTTCACAAAAATTTGCTCCCACGATCATTTGTTCCCGGATTTGATTTGGACAATCGAATGAAGCGAATACCCGATCGGGTATAGGCAATACCCGACCGGGTACATGAGTATTTTTTCCAAATCGAAATCTTTCTTGTCTCCTTGCACTTTCCTTGATCTTTTAAGGTCCAATCTTGATCCCTTGGATGATCTTTGACCTGTTTAGCTCCGAATAATCCTAATCTAAACAAATTACAAATAAAAATGAAAATAAAATATTACACCAAAAGTGTGTAATTTCCACAACTACAACTAATAAAAACTAGTTAAAAATACAAACATACAATCGGAAATTACACGAATATCACTTTTGTGACCTGGAACGGCTGCTAGGATTATAATTGCACACAGAATAAATTAAGAGAGATCTAATTTATTCTAGGACATTTTCACACACACTTAATCGTTCGTTAAGAGATTAGTAACGATTAGGGAGCCGTACGCTCGCTCGTTTTCACAATAATTTAGAAACTTGTCGCATCAGAGATCAGTTTGGTTGTCTAAATTATTGTACTCTTTGCCGTGAGAGCGGTAAGAACTTAGTATTGACCAACATTGCCTAATTAAATAATTTTCATGTGATTAAGCCTGATCAGCCCCGAAATCTGATTATCCCAAAATCAATCTCTGTTCCCTTCCTTCATTAATTAGAAAAAACCATTTAATTTAGCTGTTTTTCCGCATTTAATTTCCTAAAAATACAAATCTCGGACAACTGCATTTAATTTATTTAGTTTAATCTTTGAATTTATTTAATACTTAACTCTCTTTTTCCGTCCATGTGGAGATGATACTCGTACTAAATCCCTATACTACTACATTATTTTAAGAGCGAGAAAATTTACATTACTGATTACGTTTTAATAATAATCTATTGAGAGTATATTAGTCCATATATCAAGGGAGGGGCTAGAGAGGGGCCAACCCAGGCTCTGGCCCAACCCAAATTTATAAAATGCTTTAACTTTTAGTGTAAAAAATTGTAGGAAAAAAGTCAAATAAGCTCTTCTACTATTTCTAATCTGTCACTTAAGCCCATGTACTAAAAAAGTATCATATAAGTACGTCTACTTTTAAAATACAATCAACCAAGCCCTTTGACCTGCTATAGGAGGTTATTTGTTTTTTAAATTAAATTAGGAATATTGATAAATCTTAAGAGGTTTATATAAATTTGAAAAAAATAATCTAATAATAATATAAAAATAGTATAAATATAAAAATAAATAAAATTTCAAAAACATTAAAAAAAATTATAAAACTGAAAAAAATAATGTGAAATTACAAAAAAAAGAAAAAAAAACTTTAAAAACCTTTTAAATAGATGTGGAATATACAAATATTTTAAAAAATTAAAAAATATTGACCTTGATATTCTGAAAATTTTATCATTTTTTGTATATATTTCTTCAAATTTTAACAATTTTTTAGAATTTTAAGTATTAAAAACTTGCTATTACAGGTCAAAATCCGATTAAATGATCAAATTGATCCATTTTGTAAAGTGGGCGTACTTATGTGATACTTTTTTAATAGAGGGCTTAAGAGACGGTTTGGAAATAGTGCAAGGAATTATTTGAACTTTTTTTCAAAATTCAGTGTACATTTTTTCCAAAAATATTTTTTTTACCGTCCCAGTCCGGCTCAGTGCTCTGGCTTCGCCCCTTGATATATTTTATTTATTTATTTATGAAATGTAATCTTTTAATATTATCAAAATAGTATAATTTATTTATTTTGGGGTAAAAACGAATAAAGTCATATATAGGGAGAGAGGATTACTTTTAGTCATAGGGAAAAACTGTTACAATAATATTTAATTAATTAATATTCTAGTATTGGTCATGTAATTGGGGTTATATATTATTAATAGAATTCATATACTCCTAGACCTTTAATTGGTTTAATGATCGGTTAAACATGTGTTTTGAGCCTGTCTAGGATTAGGGTTACCCAACTCTCTCCTTTGTCTATCTATATATGCTTATTCCATGTGGAATACCAACACAATATAATTGAGAGATTTCTGTCTGTCAAGAATCTCATATGGAAAGAGGCTAGAAGAGAAAAGAGATTTATTCCAGTTCATTCATGGATCTAGGTATTCCTAAATCTCAATCTATCAGTATATGATTATGTACAATTATATGATGCGGATATTGGAACTTAATGTTACAAAAATAATTTAAATACCCCAAAATTTGAAGGGGTGAGATAATACCTAAACATGTATGTAATATTTATATCTTGAATTTTATATAAAAAGTAATCTGAGCACCATGATCATAAATGATATGATCATGGTGCCAATATAACGTTTTATATAAATTTCAGTATATTTATATTACATATGCAAGTTGGAGGGGTTAGTCTAGCACCCTTTTAAAGTTTAGTGTAATTGAATTATTTTTTCCTTAGCCATATGCACGGCAGTTTTTCTATGAATTGTATGTTCCATAAAAACAGGTCTTTAAATATCTAATTTAGTGTCCTCTTACCCCCCGTTTGGTTGGGGGATTTCGGAGGGGAGGGAAGGAGAGGATTGATTTTTTTATTTTATTAATTTATCTGAATGTTTTAGTTTTAAACTTCAAATAACTATAAAATTAGTTAAATCATGTATTTTTATATACTATTTTGTCTTTACTTTATTTGAATTTTTTAAAATGGAAAAAATATTTTGAATTTAAATATGACTCCTCCCCTTCCCTCCCCTCCGAAATCCGCCAATCATATTGGCTCTTAGACTCTTGCATTAGATATCAACTTTAGTTTATGCGTACCTACTTATTACATTGACTTTCTTAATTATTTTTCTTTAGTTCGTTAATATTCTCTATTTAATGTGATGACCGGTTCTCTTTATTAGGATATATACTAGTCTACCACTACTCGTCAAAAGGAATTAAACTTAATCGGAATTTCGGAAGGCGGTTCATTTCTTCAAATAGCAACTTATAAAACCCAATAAAAGATCAGCATGCTATCGAGCTGGCTTCATAGAGTTAGTTAATAAATTAGGTTTTTTTGCAAAAAAGAAAAGTGACAACAATTTTGTATCAACGCGCAAGCATTATGGCAGAATTTACTAATGAAAGAAAAAGGAGCATGGATTCAATTTTTGTGGCTGATTTTACTTTTCAAAGAAAATTGTGCAACTTATTAATATACATTATGATTTACGGATGATTGTTCTAATTATAGGAAAAATGATTAATAAT